GTATTCCAGTACAAAGTCCACGTATACGGCTTTTTACGTGCGCTCAGTCTTGTGGGTATAACTCCCAATGCCTACCCAAACACCCTGCTATGCATCATATCATGAAACGTTATCCTCTACTTGTAAAGCAAACACCTGTGCTCTTGCCGCGAGGCAACAATCATCCCGAGTATTTCTTGGCCTCCATGCCCTCGGGTGGTTCGGGAGTTATGGTTTTGTTGCCAACGTTACTCCAGTCGGTACTAAGGACTGTGCCACCGCTTTCCGAGTAGCTCTTCATCATGGCTCGTTGCTGCTCGGGGGTGGCGCCGCTGTACAGCTGCTTGAAGAAGTGTGATGTCTCGTCGCCCTCAATCTCGTCTTTGTCGTCGAGATCGTTCACCACGACCTTATCCCAATTCTTCGCACCTGACTTGGAGGACGTTGGGTATGCAGGGGCGGTGTCTTTGGTTGTGCGGACGGGCATAGAAATAGTGGATGCTTCAGTAGAGCCAACGTCGCCGTCGGAGTGCTCAAGATCATGCCATTTCAGCCCCGTGGTTGCCTTGCGCATTGTTATCTCCAACTTGGTGGGTGTGACTCGGTATTTCGATTGTGAAGGGTCGATCTTTTCGTATAGAGGGTCGGCGCTATAGCTGTAATCCGACGAGTCGGCAGTGGGGAATGCGACAGATACGGATCTCTCCTCGAATTCTACGCTGATTTTGTCTTTGGCCACACCCTTGGCCATGATTGTGAGGGTAACAGTTTCAGGCGACTGGTACCAATCCGTCTTGATTTTGTCTTTCGGGGTTGGGGCGACAGGCTTCGGGGCCTGGGACGGGGTGGGCTGCTCGGCCTTCGCTGGGGCGGCAGAGACTGGTGCGCTGGGCACGTCGACCTCAGGAGTTTCCTTGACGGTGACCTTCCTCATGTCGTCGTCTTCTGGTACATCCTTCAATTTTGTTGCGACCTTGGACTCCCAAATGGGCAGCATCTTGTCCTTCTCGTCAAGGCCTTTTACGATTTTCAGCAGATGGTCGGCATCTGCGTATCTTCCGAGGTGGAACAGAGCGACGGCGCGTCGGAATTGGGCGTCCTTGATGAGCTCGCGCGAGCCGCGTTTCTTTGCAAGGACGACGGCGAGTTCAGCATCGCTTAGGGATTCGGCGTATTTGGCAGTGCGCTGATAGGCTGTCGCGCGGCCGATGTAGTACTTGACGGCCGTGGTGTTGACTGCGAGCGCCTTGGTGTAGTGTTCAATCGCTTCCTCGGGTTTGCTTGCGCTGAGAGCAGCGTCGCCTTTGCGGGCGTCGTCCATGGCGGGGTAAGATATAGTTGAGCGAAAAAATAGGCGTGGAAGCAATATAAAGCGGGGTAAGAGGTGCGATGGCCTTTATAGAGGCTTGCTCTCGAATGCTGGTGAAAGAAGTTGGTCTTGGTACAATCACAACCATGGAAGCTTCCATCGCTGCCTTCGAAAACCAGGGTCCACACCCCACTAGCTGTGCCTCGCATCCACATTGCTGGGGTCATGTTTGACAGGCACACTCCGCCAGCGCTAGCAAACATTATCTGTTGACATTCACTTTCCAAAGTCAGACGAATCGTTCGAGGGACGAGCAGCATGTTCATGTATGTATGTATTACTACACAAAAGACCCCGCATCTGTGACGACCGGGGTATATACAATGCCGACTACGGCAGTCAAAAACTCCAGAAACAAATAGAACAATTCTACATCTATCCCATATGCATGCTCACAGAAGGACACAAGCTTTGCACATCTCAGCAACGATCCACTTAGAATACGATGGCGGCACCGAAGAGAGCGCTGGCAGCGATCATAGCGACGAAACGGAGGGGTACGTCTAGACCAGCAGCAGCACCCTCGGGGTTGCCAGCACCGCCGCTGGAGCCGGGAGTGGGCGAGCGAGTAGGGCTTCCAGATCCGGGGGTAGCAGTGGACTCGCTGGGTTCGCCAGCGAAGTGCGAGCCATCACCCTCAAGACCAGGACCCTCTCCGGCACCTTCATCCATGAACGCCATAGCCTTGCTGGGAATAGCAGGGAGGGTGGTGCCCTCGACTTGCCATTCGTCAGACTCAGAAGGGCACTCGGAAGCCTCGCCGTTCTCCTTGAAGCCACCAGCGCCGGAGGGGTTAGCAGTCTTCTTGTAAGCCTCAGCGAGACGCTCGAAGTCCTCGTTGGGCGAGATTTTGCCATCGTCGCCGACCTCGACAAGACCGTAACCGTTGGGCTCAACAGTGTATTCGTAAGCGAGACCACCAGAGTAGACGCCGGTCATGTTGGTAGAGTACAGAGCCTCGATCTCGCCCCACTGGCGGGTGTTGGTGATGCAGCCAAATTCAGACAGGAAGATGGGCTTGCTGTAGTCCTCGTAGGTCTTGACCTTCTGGTCCCATCCAGACTGGGTGAAAGACGAGGGGTCGCACCAGGAGTAGTCGTTGAAGGCAAAGAAGTCGGAGCGCTCATCGTCAGTACCGCAGTTGAAGTAGAGAGCCTGGAACTCGATGTTCTCGGAAACATCAGCGGCAGAGTATCCGACGGGAATGACACGGTTGTGCCTGTTGGAGATGTACTGCTTCATGTCACGAGTGACAGCCTTGATGTAAGGAGCAGCGTTGGTGTTGTTCTTCGCGTTAATGACCTCGTTTCCGGAAAAGAAGAGGAGCAGGTTGTTGTAGTCGGCAAAGGCGTCGATGGTGGCAAACACGGACTGTAGGTACACATCGTTGTACGAGCGGTGGAGGGTGTCCTCGTTCTCACGGTTGAGAGAGTAGTCGGGCGTGTTGGCATCGAGCGCCAGGTAGATACCAGCGTCGTCGAGCATCTTCATACCCTCATCGTGGTTCTTTGAGTTGTCGATGGTGTAGATACGGACCGTGTTGATACCGAGCGACTTGAAGTTCTCGACATCGCGTGCGAGACCCTCGAGGTCGAGCAGAGGGTCTTGTGCGTCGGCGGCACCACCTAAACACTGTTAGTACCGTAGTTTTTCGTTCCTTGTGACACAGACGGACCTGGCTGGTAGGCAACGCCACGGACGTAGAAACGCTCATCGCCGGCGAAGAAGGCATTGCCCTTGACGGTGACCGGTGGCAGCTTTCCCTTTGACTGACGGGCGACGACGCTGGCAAAGGCGGGAGCAATAGCGGCTCCCAAGATGGAGAAGACGACAGAGGTCTTCATGACGGGCGCAGGAGAAGAAGCAGAATTAAAAGGCAAATAGAAGAGCGATTGGAAGTCTAACGAGTGACTGGTAAAGTAGGAAAGGTAATTCTCACACAGAGGGCATGCAAACGTCGAGGCAGAAGACGGGCTAGCGACAGTATTTGAAGCGGCAACAGAGCAATTTCTTGGTTACCCCCGAGTGCTACATGTGGAACTTGCCAACCCTCATGGGTTGTCTGGCGCTGCTGCGCGCCAAGTCGATGGGTGTTGGCGGGCGCGCAGGAATCGCGGAGACCAAGCAGCCAAGTCCATAGTCATGAATTAGCAGAAGCCCGCCGAGCCTTGGTCAGGGGCAATAAGCCGAATGACTGGCAGGCGCATGCCTGGACGACGTCTTGATCGCGAGGGAATTGCGCGTCCGTCCATTTCCCGCCGCTCTACACAGCCTCGTTGAGAGAATCAAGACTTTGTTCGCTCCAGGACAATCTGCTGGTTCGAGGCGATCGCGATGGTGTGAAACGACTGCGCGCTTGGTCCTCACCAAGGAAATCACGGCCATCGCATTCCGAAAGCGCTTGGTGGAGGACGCGGTACCGTGGAAGGCCCTTTGCTGACGGCATCATTGCAGCTATGCACAGACTTCAGCTTCATTGCGATGCCACTGTTAGTTCACCATCGTCGCGCGACGGCATTGTTTGCCGGATCGCAGTCACGCTTTATCGCGGCCCGTGGAGATCCGAACTCGGGGTGTGTAGCTGCAGGTGGCAAAAAGCAGCTCGTCCATCTTCCCGCGCAGTGCGGGTATACGAATTGTTGAGGTCGGTAGGCGAAATATGGTTCTGTGGTGTTTGTGAGTCGCTGGTTGCAGCGTGACAGCTGCCGCATCCGGGGCCCCAGCCCCGATAAGATGATCCGCCCGGTCGCATGGTTCCGACACGCGTTCGCTCTTGTCTACCACCGCTCACCAATACTTATCACAATCATCTCACGAACGAGTAGATTCTCACATTGAAGACCGGAGCGTCTTCAGTGCCCGGGTCAGGTCACCGACTGTCTGAGACAATCTGCCAAGCTCGGCCACAGCAATCTGCCGCAACAAGCAATGGCACCGAGGATTTCTGCGACGAGAAGTAATGCCTCTGCCAGCCGTCAATGCTCCAGACAGCCGACCTCGATAGCTGTGCTCTTCATCTCTCGGGTTCTGACTACTGCTTGTGTTTGAATTAGCTCTACGTGCTGACGAAGTTTCTTTCGATTCCAAACCATGTCTGTTCAAGCCGGTGTCAGTCCTGCAAAGAGACGGACAGGCTTACTTCGAGACAATCAAAGCTACCACTACGATCTTGACACGACAGAAACTCGGTCTATGCGGGACTAATCTTATGGGGTTGTAGGTTGCGCCGTAATGATTGGCTACAATTCCAATTAATACACGCAGACGCAGACGTATATTTCTGGTATTATTTGCCGACCCCATAAGTTCATGCCATGATGATGAACCAAAAATACCGCCGTGTCTGCTGCATCGTCGCGCCAACTATAGTTTCATGTGCTTGCGCGCCCCCAAAGAGCAGCCGAGCTGCATGCGCACCCTGGTCGCATCTTCGCCGTCAGCGAACCACAACGGAACTGCAGGCGCCACACGAGCTATTATCCAGCGGCGAGGTTTGCGACCCCAATTATATAGCAAAAACGCGCAGTCGGGGTAAGTAAAGGCAAATGGGCGCAATATATTGCGGCGAGGACAAAGGATCCGCTCGGGCGGGTGCGAGGTGATAAAGAACTCCCTTACCCGTGCCTCTGCGGGTCACTCACCAACCGTCAAAATGCTTCGAACAATGCATTTCACGTCGCTCCCGCTTCTGGCCGCGGCCGCGTATCTAGACCCATCGCTACAACAGCAAAAGCCGTTGCTAGACTCCAAACCAGCATCGTCAGATGTGGTCACCCTCATAGTATGTCGAGAACAACCGACTTTATCGCGGTATCGACTAACGTCCTAGCAGCTGGACCAAAATCTTCACTACATCATTACTACTTCCTCTGATTATGTCTGGCCTACCCGTCTCGATCATCTTCAAGCCCCGGTAGCTGCATTCAGCATCAAGGAGTCCATCCACCACGCCATCACCATCAACATCCCCTCCGATTCTTCGCTCACGGGTACCGCTACCTTCTTCACTACACCTCAACCGGAACTATGGTCCCAGTCTACCGATCAGTTCACATGGACTCCACATCTACTACTAAACTCCGGGAAAATGCTCGGCGCACACATCCCCATACTAGACATTGGCATCAGGAAGGATGGTATGCTTACCATGCCTGCTAAATTCGCGACTCTCGATCTAAGTACACCCTACATATACGTTCCAAAGGGTATCTGGGACGTTTTGCTGCTAGCTACGACTACCGAACAGCAAGCCAGGGACGGCGAGGAAGTGCTGTACGTGGACTGTGGAGCGTTGAGCGTCTTCCCTGATCTGGTATTTGGTATGGCACCAAGTGAGTGTGGGAGTGGTGAGGAGATTGCAGACGACGACGACGATGGTGAAGATGATTATGACGAAGAAGAAGAAGATTACGGAGAACTGGTCATCACACCTGAACAGTATGTCTTGCAGACCTCAGAAGGGAAATGCATGCTTCTGACTAGGAACGCCGACTCTCATCCTAGCGTACTGGGAACAGTCAGTCTTGGTTGGGCTGCGGTGAGGGGTCGCGAAGTCATACTGGATCGGCATGTTGGACGCATTGGCTTCGGAAGTTCAGTATGAGAGTGCATGAAGTGAGGGAAGAACTAGTGTTAGATACCCACATGATGAGTTCCATGTTCGCAATTCTCGTAGCAAATGTTAGAAGAGAGTAACTGAGCCTCAATTTAAACGCATAACGACGTTGATACTGTTTATGGTGACCTGGACATGAGAACATGGACACAAGAGCAACATTCGCATATCGTAGATGGCAAGACATTACATTATTCAAGCTCTATACAAGTCTTACCCTCTACATCAAACAAAAGCTGAGCGTAACAGCGCCAAAAGTCGCAAGCAGACCCGTCCACCCGACTCTAAGCCCACTTGCTGCATCCTCATCATCACCTCCTTGTGCACTTCCATCGCCTGTGCTCTCAGGGTTAGAATCACCCTTACCCTGCTGCTGATCCGAGCTCGTTACACTGCCCGCTACACAAGCGCTATCATCCAAGCCTCCATCATTGCCAAACGCCACGTTCGCCGCCTTCTCCCACAGACTTGTCACATTGAAGTAATGCTCCGGCTCATACCAGATCCGGCAACTTGCTGTGTCGTTCAGGAACTGTGTTGGCACGCCCGCCGACTCAAAGCCCGCGCGGATGTTATCTTGGAAGTTTACGCTGGCGTCCATCACGGCGATAGGCGGAGCCGTGGGAAGGAACTCGGCCCAGTCACTTGCTTCCGAGCGGGAGGAGGCGAACTCCGCGGTTACGTATGTGGTAAGGGCTTCCATGTAAAGAGTAGGGATCACCAGCGTTCCCTTTGTGCCGCCAACGGCTACCATGGGACCGAGGTTTGGGCGTCCACCAATGGCGAGACTGCGTACGCCGGATTGCTGAACCATGAGTTCGATGAAGATGGAGCAGGTCGAGGCGCAGACGCCGTCGGTAAGCAAGATGATGTCTTCGGCGCGGAAGGGGTCCGTGGTGAAGTTGCTGCGCTCGTTGTAGCCTGTCATGGTGATGCCGACGGCGGTGCGCTCGCTGCTTGTCGTCAAGGGGTCACTGAGGTTGTATTTCAGTAGGGCAGTAAACTTGTCGTTGTTGAATCGCTCAGGTGGGTACATTGCGTTCCAGTCCGAGAATTCATCGCCAGTGGAAGAGAGGTAAGCGTCGTTGCTGAAAGGGCTCGTGAAGAGTTCGGCATTGAGAATGTTGATCTGCTTGAAGCTCGAAATATTCTCACCGAAGACCTCGCTGGCTCGGTGTCCACGGTAGCGGTTTTGGGTTTGTGGTTGTTGGGTCGGGAAGAATTGCAGATACATGTCGTAACCAGAAAGTACCTTGCCGCCGTTGTTGGCACGTAGATCGATGATGATCTTCTCTACACCTCGGGACTTGGCTTCAGAAATGTACTCCTGGACTACGGCTTGGAACTCCTGGGCACCTGCGACATCTTCTGTGTTGAATGTCGTCACCACCAATACACCAATTTCGCCAACACCGGTGTTGACGAAGAATCCAGCCAAAGGCACCTGCTCTGCTGAGTGAGCAACGAATGGTTCCGGGTAAAGTAACGGCACCGAAGCGTGTTGTTGCGCGAAAGTACCCCTAAACTCGTAGTCGCGCGGATTCTCCAGATGTAGAGGCATCTTGGTAGGATCCCTCTTCTTGATCCTCATCGAGCTTGTCTGGGGTACAATGTAGGTCTTGTACAACGATTCAGCATCGCTAACGTAGCCCCAAGACTCGGGTTGAAGGACAAGAGCACCGTTGCTGTACGTATTGATCGTGCCGTTCTCATAAGTTACGTTGGTAGTAGCACCGGGATAAAACCTTGGACTGGTGAAATACCCATAGTTCTCCGCTGCTTGCGAGAAAAACATTGCGTTGTAACGCGAATCAGGATCATGGTAGGCGTTCAAGTTTGCTTCGTCCTGCAGAAAGCTCTCGACATCTCTTCCGTCGATTTGCGTAACGGGCGAGGGATCATACCCAACTGTGCCGTTGAAGTCCTCCAAAGCCCAGACTTGGGGTACGTTGCTACCATCTCTTGATGCAGAAACAAGGGCAAAAGCGCTGCTTCGTCGCCACCTGAATATCCCTGCGTACGCCATTCCGTTCCAGCCCAAATGCCCGTCGTGCGCTTTTACCAACAAGGATGCAATGTCGGTCTCGAAATCAAATTCGTTATTGTACTGCCCAGATCCGACTTTGTTTTTGATATCATCCAGACCAGCGACGATGTCAACAGCGTCATTTGGCCATCCTTTTGGCGGGTCTTTGAGATAGCTGAGAGTCGATTGGAACTCTACTCCCTTCTTGATCTCGTCGATTGTTGCTGATGCGTCGTCTGCGTAGAATGGTAGTGATTTGAGACAAGCGTGTGCGAGTTCAGCATCTACGGCCGGAAAGTCTGAGATATCATCCGATACCAACTGCGCTATCTGTCCACAGGCTTCGCTGGTCTCTATTGGTCCAGAGACATCCTCTATAGTCGTGGGATTGACTTCGATGTCATCTATTGAAGATGGCGTTGGTGTTGATGTAGGTACGATGTCGAAGGTTTGTGAGGAGTCGCTGAAGTCTATCGAACTTGTCTGTGCCGTGGCAACTACCAGGAGCGCTGATAGCGCAACGAATGGCCTCATGATGCCGGAATGATGCGGGGTGTATAGTTTGATGTCCAAAGGTTCGGGGATACGAATACGGAACGATCAGGTGTCTGATCATTCAACACGTAGGGCGTCGTGGATGTAACGTGGTCAAGTCTCGCGTCTAATCCGTCTCTTTTATCGTCTTATTCTAGATATAACAATAGCTTGGGATGCCACCCCAACTCGTATATCGTGTCCGATTTTGTTCGTTGGTGTTTCGTGAACCGCCGTCAATATATATTCTCAGAAGCGGCCAAGATCTGTGCGGGTATGCCCCGATCTCCTGTGATACACGCTCCTCGACCCAGCTCTTTCTATCCAGCTTTGGAAAAAGTCGCGAGTAGCCTCAACACGTGGGCACCGTCGCCATCTTAATCACAAGGCAGATTGCATAGCCTTGTCACCTGTAAGGCCATAAACAGTAGCGGCCGCTGCCTAAACAGCGCCCCCATCTCGTGTACGTCTGCCGCGCTTTGTTTAGGTCTTGGCTGTAAGGGCCCTGCGCGTTGCCCGCCTTACGCGTGTCGCTCAAAGTAGGCTGGCGTTGTGACTTTTGGGTGTACTGAGCAAATCAGACGAGGAAACATGGGACGGAAGTGGATATCTGCGGGTAAGCGGAGTACTGTGAGTGGATTCTGTCGCAGCGGCTAAATCCTGTGGCGCTGCCTTCCTGCGGCGCTGCAATTCGATATGAAAACCCCGGTGTTTGTGTTTCATACTCGTCAAATTTGTGATTTCGTTGGTGTTGGTGCTCGTGAGGCTGAGCGCTGTTGTGATCGCTTGTATCTCCTGAGTGTTTTCGGTAGGGACTGCTTTCTCTGCTATGCGCACCTCGCATGCCAAGCATTAGGCACGCCCACTAAAAGCGCACGATCCGGCCACGATCCGAGAAGGGCTGGACGCCGCAACCCAGCCTTTCGGCACAGTCTCAGCCGACTGGTGAGGTCATGTCTTGCGGTGGCACGCCGAATCGTGCATGAGCTGAGAATGCGCGCAATTGTGCCGTCGGCTTGGGAGCCTTGAATTGTGACGTCTAGTTTTTGTGGACGCCTGGCACGCTCAAGGCACATTGCTCATAAGGGCCCACCACGAGAAACGGTGCCAGAGGTGGCTATGCAGTGTTTCAGGGAAAGTCCTCACACAATTGCAAGGCTTGCAGTAACTTCACTGACGACTCACGTCGACCGAATCGTGCGATTTTGACCGAAGCGGCCATCTCATTGACTAGAGCTGTGCAAGTCGCTCTGCTTCTTGATACCTACGACGACGAGGTTGCGCGGACTGTACTTGTATTCAAACACGGGTTCAACCCACGCATGTTCAACTTCTTCCTGCTCCTTGAGCCACAAGTATCGATCTGTCACGACGACAGCTTCGACTACGCCAGCGCTGAAGGCCATTAAGCTCCACATGACACTCAATTCCTTCTTTCTCTCAGCATAGCTGACTTCGTAATTCCTGATGTCTTCATCTGTCAAACCATCCATCTTTTCTCTTATGAACTCAGGGTCAACCTGACAGAAAGAGTTCTCTGTTGTGAGTTTCGCTAGCGCAGCTCGAACGTAGGAAACGAAATCGCTGTATGCAAACTTGCGCAACGTGCCTATAGTGAGGGGCGTGGTTGTACCGTCCGAAGATAGGCCAGGGCCACGACCGTTTGGTGGGGTCCAGTTCACTTGCGAGGTGTGACCATTAGCTGAGACTGCGCTGCCAACAAGGCCCTGCTCGTCCAAAGGTGCCGAAACGACGCCACGATCTAGGAAGATGCGCTGGAGTAGAGCTCGATAAAAGTGGCGAGTGAAGAAGAGTTCTGAGTCGGCCACGCCCCAGTTGAAAGGTGCCTGCACAGCCATCATGCGGGCTGTGATGTTGAGACGTATACCCTTTGGTCGTTCGGGTTTGCCAGTATCTGCTTCCGAGTCGTCATCTGACCGTTCCAGAGGTGTATGTGGTAATGGGTAATTTGCGAGTTTTTCTGACATGGGGAATCCGTTTGGGTCAAACGCTTTGGATGTAGACTCGAGGCGTGGATGATTAGGACGGAGTGTAGGTAGCTTATAAGTAGGAGGTCCAAGACGTTCCGTGACCAGATTGTAACAGCACCCTACCATGGCTACTGCGGAAATATGTGGGTTGAGAAGCATGGAGCGTAGTCCGAAATGAACAAGATTGCCGCATGAGTGCAGTGAAATGACCATTGCGTTTACATCCTTTGGTTTGGGTACAACGTTCAAGTCAGTAGCTTCGGCGACCACGGCTGTTTCTGAAGTCACCGCCTCTTCGGGTACGCTGGAGCTGTCCAGTACTTGATCGATGACAGGTGTCAAATCACCACCCTTAATGATGTGTTCAACGTACTGTACGCTGCCATGGCCTTCATTATATATTTGTAGAGTAGAAGTCTTGGTAGTCGGAACGGGAT